ATGTCTCGAAACACATACTCCAAGTCATAGACAGTTGTGGGCAAGTCTTGCACTTCGTGTGAAAACTTCTTGAGCCGAACCGGTTGTATAATGGGTTCAGTGAGCGGTTGGGCGTCTTCTTCCTGGACAATGGTCTCCACGTCCGGTCCGTACACCTCTTCGGCGGTCGGGTAGTACTTCTTGTCCTCGTGTAAGACCACAGCCATCTCCGAGTCGTCGTCTTTGTTGTCTTCGATCATCATTTGGTCCTAAAGTGAGTGCCAATTAAAAGACGGGAACCGATGTGTGCAACCATTACCTCATTGTGTCGGTCGTAGTCATCGCTGTTGCGGTCGTCGTCATCGAAGTGCTGGTCGTCGTCGTCGTCGGACTCGATGTCTGGTCCGATATAATTGCCGAACTCGTCGTACAAATCGCCGTCCATTTTGTCACTGATTTTATTACTATTTAATTGTGATTTCAATTCAATTCACAATTTGTTTCACTTTTTAATCAAAATCTCATTTCAAAAAAGCATTGAATTGTTTTGTATTGTTTACGAATAGGAGTCGTTCACAAACACTGTTATTGCAATAATCCATATAATGATTAAACCCTTCGTTAAACTTTAAATTGAATCAAGAAATTACTTGTAAATTACAATTCATTTTATTAATTAAATTGTAATTTATAGACATTAATTGTAATCAAACATTCATTGATTTTTATCCAAAATTAAACATTTATCTTTAAAGATTATAAAATACATCGAAATATTTTTAAAAATCAATTTCTATATAAATAAATTATAAACTTTATTGAATGCAATGTATATTGAATTGAATTAAATCTTAAGATGAAGTTTGAATACATGAATAAAACGGTCGTCACTACAACTGGCAATATAGACGTCAAGAGAATCGTCGGCTTTCTTCTCCGTTTTGGGTGAAAACTGAATCCGATTTACAGTTAATGTGTGACTAAAATGGGAAATACATTACTTAAACATTTTTGAAAATCATTAACCAAACTATTCGTACCAATCGTTGATATCAAGTAAATGAGACCAAAATGTTTGACTATTCCAGTAATAAAAGCAAATGAATCCGTTTTCGAGTCCAAACGCAACCAAATAGTTATCATTAACAGTGATGTCACAAATATCAACAGTTGTTATTGAATCCAATAGACTGAGAGGCGGGCCGATGGCTGTCACGGGTCCTAATGTTGACTTTTGAGCGCATTTATTGGTCAAATCAATTGTCCAAAACACTGCACTCTTATCTCTAGAAACGGTAACGAAGTGTTTGCAGTCGGGAGTGAGAGCGCAGTCCCATATAATACGAGAATGGA